AGGAAGCTTGGCGACTATCTGAAATCCTTGATCCTCTTGACATGATGCAGCCGGATATTCTTTTGAAATTCCGACTTCCCATTTTCAGTCACCTGGTCATTTGTGTGTCTGGACTTTCTCTCGAGGAACGCAAAGAGGTGTCCAAAATTGTCTCTGTCAACGGCGGCCGTTACTCGGGAGAAATGAAGGTTGGAGAGACCACCCACCTCCTTGTAAAAAGTGCTGGTGGTGTCAAGTACAATTTTGCTAAAAAGTGGAAAATTCGCATTGTTTCCGTGCGTTGGCTAACAGATTCCGTCAGCAAAGGATATGCCCTGGATGAAGCCGATTATCCTATCACTGAAACTTTCGGGGGTAGAACGAAGGGTGGTGCCTCAACCCCATCTTCTTCCATCTATCCGAATGATCCCAGCGTATTAGCCGACATTTCCGCCATCACTGATACAAGCTGTTTAAAAGTTAATGATACATGTCTGGGCTGTTTTAAGGATCTAACAAATCACAACGTGCCAGACAAGGAGAGTCCCCAAAAAACCCAATTCCTTCGTGACTGTGTCATTCTTCTCTATGGTTGTAACTCTTCTGAACTGACCAGTCTATCTAAAATTGTATCCACAAGTGGAGCAATTTTGTGTTCCAAGGTTTCGGACAAAGTCACAGAATCCCTAACACATGTTGTGTTGGGTGCCGACTCAAAAAATATACCGCCATCTAATGTTGAGCCGGGAGTATTTTATGTTACAAGTGATTGGCTTATCAGCTGCAATAAATCTGGCTCTCGTCTTCCAGAAAATAGCTACCAGGCCCCGTTCTTGTCTGCATCTGAAAAAAATGATATCAGCGATAGGAAAGAGGGTCAGGTTACTGAAAATCCTGTGGACGCGGATGAGTTACAACTTATTAACCAGTACTTTGGTGATGGAGGTATGGCTGAGGTTGACGATTTCTTGTCACTGAATACTAAAACCGAAGCCAAAAAGACCTCCCTTAGCGTCTCTAAACCAGTTCCAGATGGGGAACCTACGTTAACCATGCAAGCTACTTCCGCTTCTCAAACCGCAAAGAACACTCTGGCCGATTGTGAGATCCCGACAAACCTGGTTTCCGGACTATTTGCAGGGTTTTCTTTTCGAGTAAATTCAGAATTCTCCAAGTACCAAAGCCCTGAATTGCTCGAATCGATTACCATGGAAGGAGGCCTGGTGAAAGACGATCCAGCAGTACCTGCAGACTACACCATCTGTCCTTATGTCGTCCGCACTGTAATCAAGGATTCAAATCCCGTAACAGAATACTGGTTAAGGAGTTGCTTAAATTCTAAAA